AAAAAGGCTAACAAGAAGTATGACAAGAATGAAACGCGCCTCTCTTGTATGATTTGGTTAGAAAAAAATGATTCAAATCTTAAAATTGAATTCGAAGATATAATAACGACCACTTTAAAAAAACCACACACACTCATCCAGCCATGTTGCTAAAGTAATGTTTATTGCTAACATATTGATAATAACAGAAACGTGGGTCGCTATGTGCATGTACATAGATTATAATAACGGTCTTACGATTGTTCTATTCCTAAATGAGCATTAATGCTGGCATATCGAGCAGTCCCAGTCAGGTTCTTGTCTTCTCTGTACGGTATGTGCTGCTTCGAGCGAGTGTCCCTGTATTTCTTAGCCAATCCGAAATCAATGATGAACAACTATGATGAGAGAGAGAGAGAGAGAGAGGGGGGGGAGAGAGAGTGGATTGAAAAGTGGCCAATAGTGAGAGCTACAACAAAATAAACAAGGTGGTATAGGCTTTGAAGTGGATTGTAATATGATTCATGGTCTGGTGTTGTGTGAGTGGGTAGAACACAAATGAATGACATTATCATCTCATCTGGACCTCAAGTGCAGTACAGCTGCTAGTGAATTTATATATCTAAACTTATAGAGACTAGACTAATCCAACTATACATTACATAATGATATCATTCAGAGTGTGTGTGTCCAATTCCATTGCTGTGTGTGCATATACATGTACATGTCATAGAAAGTTTAACATAGGATTGCATGTATATGTACATATTATAAGAGTATATAAAGGAAGAGAGGGATTGGTCCTCCTTACCTTGTTACAGTGTCTCCCAATTCCCATGAGGAAGTTGTCTGGCTTTATGTCCCGATGGATAAAGTTCTTATTGTGAACATACTCGATTCGACCTATCATCTACCAGGAGGAGGAGAGAGAGGGAGAAGATAAATAATGAAAATAAGAGAGGGAAGAGGAAGAGGGTTGTTATACAATGTACCTGATCTGCAAGCATTAAGACTGTCTTCATTGTGAAACGACGCGAGCAAAAATTAAAGAGATCCTCTAAGCTGGGCCCTAGCAAATCCATCACTAGCACATTATATTCCTTCTCTGATCCATACCACCTGAAAATTAAATGATAAAATTAAATTATAAAATATGTTTCTCTCTCTCTATCTCTTCCCACTTCCTTCCTACTACTCTTTCTTTCCCCTTCTTTCTTCTTAATTGTCCCTAACTCACTTTATGTGAGGTATACCAACACCTCCCTGTAGTATCTTGTAGAGTTTTGACTCGTACAATAGCTGTGGGTGCCGAGCTTTGTGTGACTCCAGTTTCACAGCCACTTCCTGTAGGAAAGTACCACATTAACATTCCCAGACTTATCCCATCGTAATAATAAGTAATAATTGCTGATCATGTATTAAAAACCCAATTACAGTAGCTATACATGTACAGCTACCGAGCAATATGTCTTCTCACCTCTCCATTGGTTTGGTTAACCCCCAAGTAGATGTCACCAAAGCTACCACTTCCGATCTTCCTGACGAGCCTGTAGCGTCCACCAACCGTGAACTCGCTCTTGCTGCTGCCACTCGAGCCAGTGCTAGCTGCCATGGCTGTCTGTGTTTGTCCTTACGCTGTGTGGAACCGTTCTCTTAAAACGGCGGGGAAAAGGGAGGGAATAGGACACAGAAGACTACGAGATGTCTTCTAGACTGACATGAAAGAGAAGAAGGCTAAAGGGAGACGGGGAGAGAGTGTCTGCTAAAAATTCTGTCACAGCAGAACTTAACAAGGAGTTTTTGCCGCACCCTGGTGAAAATGGGTGTGGTCGTACGAGAATATACGGGAAATAGACGCACATAGTTCCCGGATAAACTGAAAAGTTTTAAAGAATACGGAGAATAACCGGAAACATTAGGGGTATTTAGGGCAGACAATGGAGTCTCTTTTATGTTTGGTTCTTCTCCTTTGGTTAGGGAATGTCGGGGAGTCACTGTACTTTCACATTTCAGAGACCGAGCACAAGTGTTTTATAGAAGAGGTGCCGGGAGAAACCATGATTGTTGGTGAGAGACATTAAAATAATAATAATAATATTTTTAAATGATATTTTAGGAAAGTACAAAATTCAACTATTTGATGCGAACAGACAAGAATGGCTGCCGACAAGTCCAGGGATAGGGATGCATGTTGACGTATGTATTTATACTCATAAATGTACATGTACAGTACATATGGTGGGTAATATTTTGGAGGAACGCTATGTAATGATTAATAGTTTTTATTTAATTTGGCGAAAGGCCCTTGAATTACGTTTACCCTTTTCAACCACCATAACAATTATTCGTTATACATTAAACCGTCTCTCTCTTCTCGTTAGGTTAAGAACCCTGGTGGTAAAGTCGTTCTCTCTAGATTATACTCCAACGAAGGTCGATTCACTTTCACCACGACCGACTCTGGGGAACATACCATTTGCATAAGCACCAACAGCACTCGCTGGTTCGGCGGACAGAGCCTGGTTAGTTACCATAGCAACAAGCCCCTCGCATTGACTCCACCTATTATAGAGAGTGCACCTTACCATTAATGTTGGTGACCATGCAGTGGATTATGCCCAAGTCGCTGCCAAAGAGAAGTTGACCGAGTTACAATTGCGCATAAGACAACTCCTTGATCAGGTTGAGCAGATCAGTAAAGAGCAAGCTTATCAGAGGGTAAGGACCAAACCTGTTTCTTTAATGTTGTTTATCTTGTGTACATTTGTAGTAATTTCCCTTAAATGGTTTATTTCACAATCTTTAGTTTCAACTCTATCGGTTCCTATCTTCCTTTGTTGTACATGTACTATAATAGTGCTGTTACTTCCTCTCCTTTTGTTACGTATTCTTATATAATAAGGATAATAACCTCATTACCATAAATGGGAATAATTCAGTAATTATACCAGTGCAAACAATGACGTGTGAATCATAGTTCTAGTTTCTTATCCTTGACATTTTTATTTTTAAAATTATTTTTAGGTACGCGAGGAACACTTTAGGGAGATCAGTGACAGTACTAACGCACGGGTGCTGTGGTGGTCATTTGGTCAGAGTATCGTACTAATTGTCATGGGACTTTGGCAAATGAGACATCTTAAAGGATTCTTCGAGGCAAAGAAACTCGTGTAATAGAAATAATAATAATAATAATTAGTAATAATAATAATAAAACTATAAATAAAACTAAGCTGTACGAAGAAGTTGTTTCACACATTATTTCTTTCATTTCTTTTATAATAATAATAATAATAATAATAAGACCAATTTAAAAATAAATGTTAAACTATGATCCTAAGTGGAATCCAATGGGCCATATGCTGATATTAATCTCCTACTGGTGTATTCCCAGTATCTCTTCCGAACTGGATCTATCTTTGATCCTAACTCTTCACATATCTATATGTATTAACAAGAATAAAATATAATGGTTTTTTTTCATAAAACAATGATACCCCAAGTACTGTTTTGCCCTCATGCTGTGCAAAAAGCACACGAGTTCATTCCTAATAAGGCATCTCTAAAAAACAAGCCGATTTTAGGAAAAGAGCAGTCGTAACAAAACAATCCTGTTTATGACACCCGCTCGCTCAGAAGCATCAACAGCATCACACACACTGCCCGCCACAAGTGACAATTAACGAAATACCCTCGAGACAATTAACGTAATACCGCAAATGTTACGTTTACATAGCAGCAAAAACCATTCGGTTCCGTCACAAGTGACAATTAACGTAGTGCCCTCAAGGCAATTAACGTTAATACCGCTAGGCTAGCTTTTAAGGTTACGTTTACATAGCAGCAAAAAACTATACCAGTTTATGCCTGTTTCATGCTTGAGTTTACACAGAAACAAAAAAATGCTTTTTTATATTATAAGCTTCTATAAAGGAACAGAGACATATGTATACATTACCTTTACTGCTTTTTCAAGACTCTCCTTCTTTCCATTAGCAACCTCTTCTTCATAAACGTCAATCATCGTAGAGAGAAGGAAAGGAGAAGGGACATGCTGGGATCTTAGGCTGTCGATCAGCTTCAAGACTGGCTCATGATCTGATATACGGCCACCTTTAAGTATCCTGAATAATAAAAAATAAAGAAATAAAATATATTATATATAAGGGATAAGTAGTAGCATTGTAACTATGTTGTGTAGAATGTTTGAGCTGATTCTAATCAAAACTGGATTTTCTCAAAAATCGGGCCAACGACCTTGTACTATAGTACAGGGTCATTGTCCAAATTTCCCAAAAAATGAAAAGTAGAGAATTCTCCACTTTTATACATTTTTCTGATACACATACATGTACTTATGTTGTGTTTCAATTTTGAGCTCATTCCAATCAAAATCAGATTTTTTATGAATTTTAAAAGTTTCTTTAAACATATGTACACGTCTACATGTACTCACCCAGTAAGGTAGTTCCATGCACTTTCATTATTTGGTGCTACTTTGATGAAATCAATCACATACCTTACAAAAAAAAAAATAACATTTAACACAATCTCTCTCTCTCCTTCTCACTTGACTTCATTCTTCACAACCTCCTCCGTGTAACCTGTCGTATTAATGATCACAAAGTATCTTTGGTTCCATGCAGAATTATTCCTAAAGTCTTCCTTGAGGAGACCATCCACAAACTCTAATTCATTAGACCATAGTCCGTACGTTCTTATCGTCCATTGCCTGTGCTGCCAAGCGTGATAGTTCTTACTGTCGTCTTTAAAAACTTCGGCCGTCAAATAGAGCTCCCTTGATGGGTCGTTGGACCACTCTACCAGCTTCTGACGATGATACCTGAAAATAAAAATTACATTATTATTATTATTATTATTATTATTATTATTATTATACTAACCAAACTTGATAGTTCTTTGGTTCATTTAGAACTGTCTCTTCGGCAAACTCAAGCTCAGACTTTAAATCCTTTTTTAACTCTTGCAATACTTCACGCCTATAATGCCTGACGAATAATAAAATAAATAATAATTTTTTATTAAGGAAGCCCCACCTACCAAACAGTATAATTAGCTGGATTGCATTCGATGGCGTCCATTGTTAGCTCAAGAACTCGCTCCGTCTTCTCTCCTTTCCTTATAACAGCCCGCAAATAATCATAAACATCTTTAACTGATAATTATATTATAATTAAAAAGTCAATAACCACACCCACATGAACTAGAACTTACATTTATCAGTGTATGCTATCTGTACGACTGGATTGGGCCCGTCATCTTGAGGAATAGGCTCTATATCTTTCCAATTGGGCCTGTCTCTGTAATAAACGTAGCCTTGCTCGTCGCTATTGCTCTCATCACCTTCAGACATTCTCAAATGTAATATACGGATAAACGGTTATCTCCGTATACTTTAAACACGTGCTACCACATGGGTAGATCGAGTAATTTGCGTGAACAGCAGTAGCCAGCACAACCTATATACAGGTAATACAGCATGAATATAAATTAATGAAGTTAGATCTAGTTTGTAGGTGGGAGGGCTCCTCTCCAACCTGCTTGCAGCATTTGACGTAGCTCATCCACAACCGGCTTCATTTCTGGCTTATTAGCAAGATTGACATTCTCATCATTAAAGAACACAGTGGGAGAGGAATGATCGTACAATTCAACACCCCAAATCTCCTTAAAATTAGGAGTAGAAGTAGTGCGATTGAACCGATACCACTCAGTGAAACGGTATTATCGGTACGGACAGTATAGCCCATTACACTCTCACCACCT